GGTGTGGGTGTGGGTGTGGGTGTGTGTGTGTGTGTGTGTGTGTGTGTGTGTGTGTGTGTGTGTGTGTGTGTGTGTGTGTGTGTGTGTGTGTGTGTGTGTGTGTGTGTGTGTGTGTGTGTGTGTGTGTGTGTGTGTGTGTGTGTGTGTGTGTGTGTGTGTGTGTGTGTGTGTGTGTGTGTGTGTGTGTGTGATGTATGCTTTGTGTGGTGCGTGCTTTTTGTGTGTTGTAGGTGTTGTGTGTGTGTGTCATGTTTGTCTAGCGTGTGATGTGTTGGGCGTGATTTGTGTCTCTGTGTGCATGTAGTTCTGAAGCCCCAGGAGGCCCCAAGAAGCCCCAGGCGGCCTCAGGAGGCCCCAGGAGACCCCAGGAGGCTTCAGGAGGCCCCAAGAGGCTCCAGGAGGCCGCAGGAGGCCCCAGGAGGCCCCAGGAGGTTTCAGGAGACCCCCAGGAGGCTCCGAGGCGGGGTCTGGGGTGCCAGAAGGTTCAGAAAGCCTCAGGAGGCCCCAGGAGGTTCCAGGAGGCCCCCAGGAGGCTCCGAGGCGGGGTCTGGGGCTCGATGTTGGAAGGATTTTTCAAGCGAAACCGCCATTCCCTGAGAATCGGGGTCGCAATTATTGTAATTACCATGTGTGTTTGAAGGTTTAATGTTAAAATGTTGAAATTCCCATGTGTTTTGGGACCCTGACGTCACGATCTGCGTGAGGGGTGCCACCGATTTTCAGAATTTCGAGGATGTCCCGAGCGAAACGCCCAGAAACATCGCGGACGCGTGCGCATTAATCGCCTCTGAGCTCTACTCCCTCGGAGAGGTGCGTATGAGAATATATATATATATATATATATATATATATATATATATACGTATATACACACTCACACACACACACACACACACACACCGAACCTCTACAGGCCCCATTCGGGCCCAGATCTTGTCCCGGCGAGGCCGACAAGGCCCCAAAATTGGCATGTCGAAGCTCGGTGGTGCTGGATTGTTCCTTTTCCTCTTGTTCCTCCCACCCACCTTCCTACAAACGCACGACCAGCGCTCTCGACACCATCGCCGCACCCCAGGTTCTCTAGCTTGATCGGTCCGAGACAGCGAGACAGCACATGGCGTCGTTGCCTGGCGCCCAGATGGCAGTGTCCCCAGGGGGAGCGCATGTGGGACGAATATTCGGACCTCGCGGTGAAATACGTCGGTTGCTGTGAGGGTTCATTGTGAGGAAGACCGCATCAGAATGTACTTGAAACCATGCCATACGTCATTAGTCGAAGAACCACGCCATTATAATGCATCGCAAACTGGCTCTCGCGGGTCGAAGTCCAATGTTCAACGCATTCATCATTCATGTTCATAGGTAATTCCTTCCGGCTGGCACGTATCATCGGAATTCTGCCCTCATTTATCTTATAAGCCGCCAGAGGGCCGAATCGAAGATTTACGCTTCTGTGGTTGTGGTTGCAATCCGTCCTCAGCCTAAGACTTATTTGCGTACCGAGTCGACCTACGAGAGTCCCTGGTCAAGAAAAGAGAACCGCCCCAACATCTGATGGTTTTCAATGAGCTATTTCACTATGGAGATGCACGGTATGCGGAGTAAGCTATGTGGTGATGGCTACGATGGGCAAGCTATATGGTGTGAGCTACATGCTGCAAGCTATGTTGCGGCAGCTATGTGGTGCGAGTTCTATTGTGTAAGCTACGCGATGTGGTTTAAGAAGTGCGAGAGCTATGCTGTGTAAGCCATGCGACGTTACCTGAGAGGTGTGAGCCGTGTTGTGCAAGCCGGCGGCGTGAGATGTGCCGTGTAAGCTGTGCTACCCACCCAGGGCACGGGGCGTTCACCGGGCGCTCACAGGCGGGCAACAGGCGAAATTTCGGCATGCCCCCCTTGCGCGGGGCGCCCGCGGGCGCCCACCACGTGGGCACCAGCCGCAGCCCCGGCGGACCCATCCGTATTTGTCAACAGAGCAGCAAGAGCCCCGAAGTGCAAGCACTTGTTTTGGGGAAGATGCCTTGTGCGTTGACAGTGCCGTTTTTAATACATGCTCCGCGTGCGGATCATGTAGTACAAATGCAGGGATTTAGTAGTAAAAACAACGATGAGTTCATGCATAAATTCATTCATAAATTAATCATGTGAAAAAAATCCCATATGTTTAAACATCCGATGGATTAAAAACAAACTGCCCTGTAGCAAGAGCCCCGAAGTGCAAGCACTGTTTGGGGAAAATGCCCTGTGCGTTTACTGGGCAGCACTGCCCTGATCGAGCTCTTCCTCGGTGGCTTCCTCTCTAAAGGTGAAGGCTCTGAGGTTGCTCGCTGTGCGGGTGGCTCCTCCGTCCGCCACGCGGGGCCCGAGGCGGGCCCTCGTGGGGTCCCAGGCTCGACCGCACAGCCGGGGGAGCGTCCGAGCTGCGCCGACTCTTTGCACACCTGGCGCGGACACGCCAAGACGCCCAGCAGGTGGCTATCTGGGCCGCCGCCCTCCCCACGCCGCCCCCGCCCCGACAGGAAGTGCGGAGCGCCGCGCCAAGCGCGGGGCGCAGGCGCGCACGCCGAGGACTCGAGGGGCGCCGGAGCGCGCGCCGACGACTGGAAGGGGGCCAGCGCGCGCGCCGAGGACTGGACGTGCCCGGCCTGCACGTACCTCAACTTCGCGCGCAGGGCCGAGTGCGGGACCGGTGGGCCCAAGGGTTGGGGAGGGCCTGGAGGCAGAGGCGCCGATTCTCCTCAGGCCCCCGTCGTCATGGTTTTTTCATGGCGTTCGCACACGGCTTCTCCTCAACGGGAAAATCTTGGCGGCGTTGACCCCCAGAGGTTTGAAAGAATGCGTTCTGCGAATGCTGGGAAGGGGGTTGCGGGGCTCGAGCCGGAGGGGGCCCCCCCTTCTTAATTGCAACGGCGGGCGGGTTCGAGCCGAGGGGGTCTCGGGGGGGTCGAACCGGGAGGGGGACCCTGCACCCGCGATCGAGACCTAGTAGGATGCGATGAAGAATAGATCAAGCTCTTGCAGGATTAAATGAGAGCTGGCTCGAGCGCCACTAGGATTTAAGTATAATTAGAACCAGTTTAGCAGGATGACATTCAAGCTGGATCAAACCCCATTAGAATTTCACTACAGCTGGATCGGGCCCTAGTACGACTTCATGCGAGCTGGATCGAGCTCTTGTAGGATGCCATTCAAGTTGGGCCGAGCCTTTGTAGGTTTCAATTGCAGCTGGATCCAGTTACTGTCGGATTATACTAGAGTTGGGTCGAGACCTACTAGGACGCTGTTGAAGTTGGACCGAGCCCTTGTAGGATTAGATTAAAGCTGGGTCGAGCCCTAGTAGATACAAGTAGAGCTGAATTCAGCCTTAGGAGGATTCTATGCTAGACGCTTCGCGTAACCCCACCAGTCCATTCAGAAACGATGCCCAGACGAGTTGCCCTGATCAGGGATGTGGAGGAGAATGCAGTGGAGTAAAAGGCTGGGTAAGACGTCGCACCCCAAGACGGGAGGATGGAGGAGGAGGAGGAGGAGGAGCAGGAGGAGGGGGAGTAGGGAGGGGGAGGGGGACAGGGGAGGAGGACAAGCTGGGTGCGCTCGCGTTATATCTGACGTCCTACCCCTCCCTCCCATCCCTCATAGATCTCCTCTCTATTCGCACAGTCGGATGTCGAGCAGGGCAATGATCCCGAGAGGGTGCGCGTTGCATCGCAAAGCACGGCATAGCAGGGTGTAGACGAGCACGGCAGAGCGTAGTATGTCATAGCATGGCGTGGCGTGGCGCAGTGAAGATTTGCATCACAAAGCACTGCAACGCAAATAATGGCATCGCACAGCGGCACAGAACACAACATGGCATAGCATGGCGTTGAAGATCAAATCGTAGCATGGCATAGCATGGCGTGGCACTGCGTAGTCAAGCACTGCGCATCCTAGCATTGCAGCTGAAGGCATGGCATCGAACAGCGGAACACCACATAGCATTGCATTGCATGCCGTGGTATGGCACTGGAAATAATGACGCCAGCGTTGCAGCGGGAGCACGATTCGAAACGAGCGGAAGCTTGGAAATGAGACCAGCGCTGCAGCTGGAGCACGATTCGGAACGAGCGGAAGCCTGGAAATGATGCCAAAGCTGCAGCGGGAGCACGATTCGGAACGAGCGGAAGCCCGAAACCAGCGCTTCGGCGGGAGCAGCATTTTGAAAACAAAATCGAAGCGAAAACCCAACTCTCGGGAATCTGTATGTAAAAACAGAAGTACGCGGATGGGGGGCGAATATCTTTTGGACGTCATCAGGGGAGAGAGGACAGTAGTATTCATATTGTGTAATTGTGGAGGGAGGAGGAGGAGGGGGAGGAGGAGGAGGAGGAGGAGGAGGAGGAGGAGGAGGAGGAGGAGGAGGGCGAGCAGAAAGGCCAGAGGCATGTTGGATGCTTATCGGAGTCTCTTCGGATTCCTGTCGAGAGTTTCTTGGAGTTCTCCTGGGACGTCTGCAGGGTCTCCTGGCAGTCCCGGGGGCCTCTTGAGGCGTCTTGGGTGCTTCTGGGGGGACCTCTTGGAACCTCTTGGGGGTCTCTTGCGGGTAGATTGGGGGCATCGTGGGGCCTCCTGAGCACCTCTTGGGGCCGTCTTGGGGCCATCTTGGAGGAGATCGGTCAAAGGAGGGGGGCTCCTAACTTAGGGTCCCCCGTTCAGGAGGCCAACATGTGGCCAAAATCTTTGCAAGATCAATGGTTTTGGGCTTCTATCCGAGGCCTCTTGAGGCGTCTTGGTTGCCTCTGGGGGCCTCTTGGGACCTCTTGGGGGTCTCTCGGGAGCCTCTTGGGGGCATCTTGGGCGCCTCCTGGGGGCCGCTTGGGGCCTCCTGGGCACCTCTTGCGGGCATCTTGGGGCACCCTTGAGAGACTTGGAGGCCATCTTGGAGGAGATCTGTCAAAAGAGGGGAGCTGCCCCATTACGGCTCACCCCCCCCCCAGGAGGCCAAAATCGGCTTCCTCGCCGAGGCCATCCTGGACGCTCCAACGTCTCGCGAACCCCCCCTTCCAAACCCAGGGGGAGGGGGGAGGGGGAGGGGTCAGCCCACCCACCCGCCCGCAAGCCGTCTTGCTCACTTCCACCCGCCCTCCCAACGCATTAATAACACCCGGGCGTTCGCATGCCGCACAAGAACGCCGCAGAAGCCACGGGTGCCAGCTGCACCAGACACCCCGGAGGCCCAAGCGTGCCAGGCACGCCAGGTTCGGCACGTGCTCCGCGTGCGCCCAGTGTTCCCCGTGCTCCAGCCGCGCCGGGTGCGCCAGCCACTGGGAACCCATAGGGGCTCCACCTGCGTGCGCCGCAGCTGTTGCTACGCCAGCAACTGGGCACGCCCCAGCGCATGCTTGTGGCTGCTGGCCACTGCGCGCGTGGGGCGTTGGGGGGGCCGGTTTTTGGAAGCCTCTTGGGCCCAGCTTGGAGCTTCCTTGGCACATCTGGGAGCCGTTTAGAGGCCTCGACAGCCCATCGGAAACGAAAGGCGAGAAGGCAGCAGCCATTGATTTGTCAAAGCGGTCGGTCGGCCACCTGCGCCCAGAAGGCAGGCGGGATCTGCTGGCACCTCGGCCGAAATTGTAAAATATTGATACGAAGTGGTCGCGAGGCGGCCGCGCATGCTCCAAATGTAAAGGCAGAGTGTGTTTCGTTGTGTTTTTTACAAGGATTGTGGGGGGGACCATGGGGTCGGCATTGTTCCGGCTTGACTGCCGGCCAGGTGGGGGGAGGGGGTGTATATCTATAGTTACTAAGGAATAGTGATTAGCCTCCCCTATGAAGGGGAAGAAGGGGGGGTTGAAGGAGAAACTCGCTAAACCGTTCACGCCCTAAAGGGCTGGTGAGATTAGAGCTGGAAAGAGCATTAGTAGGATGCTATCAAAGTTGTATTGAGCCTTACTCGAATTCAATTACAGCTAGATCCGGCTAGTCGGATCCCATGAAAGCTTGATCGAGCCTTCCTAGGGTATATTAGGGGGAGAGGGGGGGGGCGCCTGTTCGAACCACCACCAGCCCGTGGAAAGGGCGGGGGGGCCTAGTTCGAACCCTTCTCCCCCCATTGGAAGGGGGGGGCAGTTAGAAGGAGGCCAGTGTCCAGGGGGGGGGGGGGGGGGGGCAAATTACCTGGGGCGCCACATTGTCAGAGGGGTGGGGACGGTTCCGACGTGTCCAGGGACTTGTCCCAGCAAGCTTCCGCGCGAAACACGCTCTTTCTCAGGTCTCGACCTGGTCCCTGGGACCGGCTCCTCATCCCGAGTCGTTTGTCGACGGCCCCGAGGCCCAAAGAGCGCCCTGGGAGGCCGAAGAGAGCTGAAAAGCTCCCGCCGCGATGTGTTCCTGACCCGAGGGCGTCTGGGCCGGCGGCGCTTGCGCGAAGGAGCCGCGCCCGCGGCTCGGGGGAGTCAGTCACGGCCAGGGAAGATCGTCTCCCCCCGATGGCCGCCCGCCGCCCCGGCAGGAGGTGCGGGACGCCGCGGCCGGCGGGGGGGAGCGCAGCACTCGCCGGCCCCGCGCCGGAGTGGGGCGAGCGGCGGAGGCTCGGGCCTTGCGCGATGCGGGGGGGACGATGCCCGGGGTGAGGCGGGAAAGGTGCACCTCTAGTGCCCCAAAGGGGCCCCTCCTATCGAGGGCCCCCCCCCCATTGGGGCACGAAGGGTGCACGCTTCTCCCCCCTTAGGTATCGCGACGCCCCAGAGGCAGGAGGAGCCGCGGCCGGAGGCGGCTGGGTGGCAGCCGCGCGGGTGGGCCGAGGGCGGCGGCGGGGAGTGGCCCGGGCGGGGCGAGTGGCGGGCGCGGGAGCCGTGGCCTGAGGGAGCTGGGGCAGCTGCCGAGCCGCCGCCGGAGGCCGAGGAGGCCGAGGAGCTCGACGGCCCGCCGAGGCGGCGGCCGAGCTGCACCGGCTTTTTGTTCTCCCTCCCTCCAGATCCTCATCCTCGCCGCTCCCTCTCATACTTCCTATTCGTCCTGCGTGGCAGCATACCTTTTTCTCCTCCGCGCATCCTTCTCCTCCTCGGCAGCCTTCTTCACATCCACATCATCATCCTCTTTCTCTTCCGCTCCCCTCCTTATCATCTGTCCTCTTCTACCATTATAATAACTATCCTCCTGATCCTGTTCGTGATCCCGTTGCTTTCCTAAGCTGTTGGGGTCTTATCTGTTGTTTCTAACTAGCGGAGTACAGGCAGGCACGGACCTGGATTCGGTCGGGCGCCGATTGTCTCCCGTTGTCTCCCAATACATCCAGTTGACTCCCGTTGTCGCCGTTTGTCGCCCGTTGTCTCCAGCTGGCTCCCGTTATCCCCCGCTCCCCATTCCTAAGTCGCTTGTCCCGATCCGAATCCCGTTCCTGCATCCCCAGCCATTTATCCATATCCCTCTTAGTAGTCGCAAGGATTGCCGCACTCGCAACCACATTCTGAATATGGGTTCTACTCGTATGATTAGTAGTAGTCGTAGTCGTAGTCGTAGACCTAGTATTATTCATATTAGTAGTAGTAGTAGTAGTAGTAGTAGTAGTAGTAGTTGTAGTTGTAGTAGTAGTAGTAGTAGTAGTAGTAGTAGTAGTAGTAGTAGTAGTAGTAGTAGTAGTAGTAGTAGTAGTAGTAGTAGTAGTAGTAGTAGTAGTAGTAGTAGTAGTAGTAGTAGTAGTAGTAGTAGTAGTAGTAGTAGTAGTAGTAGTAGCAGGAGTAGTAGTAGTAGTAGGAGTAGGAGTAGGAGTAGGAGTAGTAGGAGTAGGAGTAGGAGTAGAGTAGGAGTAGGAGTAGGAGTAGGAGTAGGAGTAGGTAGGAGTAGGAGTAGGAGTAGGAGTCAAGCTAGCCAGCTCGAGCGAGTCAAGCATGGCATGCCCAGTCCCACCCGCCCTCCCACAACATAAGAAGCAAAGCTGGCACAACTGGGGGCCGAAGTCACACCGGCCAGCCGGTTTGGTACAGCTGATGCGGCCGCGATGGCGGTTGCCGACGGGAACTGGCGAGCGCGTGTTGAATGCCGCGCACGCATTGCCAGACGAGTCGAGAATGGCCCGGTACACCGCAGGAAGCCAGAGGTGGCCGGAGGAAGCCCGACGGTCTGACAGGACACCCCAAAGCATTTTTGTGAAAAAGCATTGGGTTTTTGATGTTTTTATGTTGAAATGCTTGCAAACACACGGTGTTCGGTAGGATTCTGACATGAACGCGCGAGTGTGCTCTTTGTGGTATTTTTTGCACAGGATTCGCGGCCTGGGTGCATGACAGAGCATCGCGAGTGCACCGCGCGATGACGTGAAATCGCTGGATTGACCGAATTCTTAAGATTCCTATGGTTTTCCTATGATTTCAGCAAGAGAGCCCGGGCAGGAAATTTGTAGAATTTTTGTGAAAAAGCATTGGGTTTTTGATGTTTTTATGTTGAAATGCTTGCAAACACACGGTGTTCGGTAGGATTCTGACATGAACGCGCGCGTGTGCTCTTTGTTGTATTTTTTGCAATGGATTATCGCCGTGGACGACAGGACGTCCATGTCGAGAGGAAAAAATAAGAAAAATGTTGATTTTGTATTGTCTTTTACAGGTTAGGATGGGACCACCCGGATGCGGCCCCTAATGGCCGGCCTGAGGGGGGAGTAGGAGTATATTCTAATAAGGAATAAGGATAGGAGTAGGAGTAGGAATAGGAGTGGGAGTGGGAGTAGTCGTAGGAGTTAGTAGAAGTAGGAGGAGGAGGAGGTGGAGGAGTAGTGGTAGTGGTAGTGGTAGTGGTAGTGGTAGTGGTAGTGGTAGTGGTAGTGGTAGTGGTAGTGGTAGTGGTAGTGGTAGTGGTGGTGGTGGTGGTGGTAGTAGTAGTAGTAGTAGTAGTAGTAGTAGTAGTAGTAGTAGTAGTAGTAGTAGTAGTAGTAGTAGTAGTAGTAGTAGTAGTGGGAGTAGTAATAGTAGCAGTAGTAGTAGTAGTAGTAGTAGTAGTAGCAGTAGTAAGTATGTAAAGAGTAGGTAGGAAGGGCGTAGTAGTAGTAGTGAATAGTAGTATTAGTAGTAAGTAGTAATATTAGTAGTAAGTCGTAGTAGTCGTAAAGTAGTGTAGTAGTAGTCGTCGTTAGTAGTAGTAGTAGTAGTAGTTAGTAGTAGCAAGCAGCAGCAGCAGCAGCAGCAGCAGCAGCAACAGCAGCAGCAGCAGGAGAGGATGAGGAGGAGGAGTAGTAGTAGTAGTAGTAGTAGTAGTAGTAGTAGTAGTAGGAGTAGGAGTAGGAGTCAAGCTAGCCAGCTCGAGCGAGTCAAGCATGGCATGCCCAGTCCCACCCGCCCTCCCACAACATAAGAAGCAAAACTGGCACAACTGGGGGCCGAAGTCACACCGGCCAGCCGGTTTGGTACAGCTGATGCGGCCGCGATGGCGGTTGGCGACGGGAACTGGCGAGCGCGTGTTGAATGCCGCGCACGCATTGCCAGACGAGTCGAGAATGGCCCGGTACACCGCAGGAAGCCAGAGGTGGCCGGAGGAAGCCCGACGGTCTGACAGGACACCCCAAAGCATTTTTGTGAAAAAGCATTGGGTTTTTGATGTTTTTATGTTGAAATGCTTGCAAACACACGGTGTTCGGTAGGATTCTGACATGAACGCGCGAGTGTGCTCTTTGTGGTACTTTTTGCACAGGATTCGCGGCCTGGGTGCATGACAGAGCATCGCGAGTGCACCGCGCGATGACGTGAAATCGCTGGATTTGACCGAATTCTTAAGATTCCTATGGTTTTCCTATGATTTAGATAAGATGATTTTCAGCAGACAGCCGGGCGGGGAAAAATTTGTTCAATTTTTTCTCCCTTTTGTGAAAAAAAAGCATTGGGTTTTTGATGTTTTTATGTTGAAATGCTTGCAAACACACGGTGTTCGGTTGGATTCTGACATGAACGCGCGCGTGTGCTCTTTGTGGTATTTTTTGCAATGGATTATCGCCGTGGACGACAGGACGTCCATGTCGAGAGGAAAAAATAAAAAA